CTCCTAAATCACTCGTACGCACAACTTAAGAACAAATCTATGCGTACGAACGGTTCTTGCATGAGGCCCAATATCCTTAGTTTTAGTGTTTGTCAATTTATTTTGAGCCATGTGGATCTCTTTATTTTTTTTAAATTGAGTAGTTTCACATTAGCTGTGGTCTGTAACACTTGTTTACAGTCTGCTRCTGCTCAGCATCACCTGCCAAATSATGACAACAAAAGTTGGGAGAAAGCGTTCACTTTGGGTTTTCTTTGACTATGACTGCGAGAAAAATCAAAACAAGTGTCTTGTAGTGGGAACAGGTGATAAAATAGGTGGAATACCTCTCAMGGGAAAACCCGCATGAATCAAACTCGCACAGACAGCAAAACTGAGTTACGCAATTATTTTGGGAAGGTGTCACTATAATGGACTGCTTTAACTAGTGACCAAATAGCTGTTGGTTAGTTAACTCACAGGAACATCACAAGCTTGATGATGCGTAGGCAAAAATATATAAGAAACTAATACTAGAACTAATAAAAACTAAACTAAAACTAAGCATTAAAAAATGCAATAATAACTAATAAAAACTAGCAAATCCACTGTAAAAACGAATTAAAACTAACTGAATTAAAAGAAAAAAGTCACAGCGAAATAAAACCAAACTATAATGAAAAATCCAAAACTATTATAACCTTGCAGTGCACACCCAGAGAGGCAGAGGAGCCGTTAGCGCTATGACCGGGGTTCAAACTGCATCTGTGGCTTCAGAGCTAAAACCAAAAGGTGTGTCGGAGTTTAGAAGACCAGCCTCACCTTATGAGCCTGGAGGAGCAGGTGGATGACACCAGCCGCTCCGTGGCACCAGTGAACGAGCCGATCGCTCTCGTTGCTCAGCGAGGATGGGAAGTTCCCTGACCGAAACTTCTTACTGCGGACGTAGTCGACGCAGGGTCGRACCGCCTCTGACAGCAGGTCTGGAGGAACCCTCGCTTCAGGCTGAGGAGACACAAACAWAAAAGCTTGGCTCAAGCCAGACTCAGCAAAACCCAATCACCGAATTACTGAAATGAGCTAAAMGGATGCTAACGCTAACAGTAGCGAGGCTTGCATCCTGTCTTGTTATCGGTGGCTCCCATCTCCTGCTTTGACCCAGCTAAAGATGAGGACAGAACAAAACGACCATCAGCGTTTAGATCCTTCTCACCTGCATTAACATGTAATAGATGCCAGCCAGGCCGTGGGCGGCTCCGATGTACTGCTTCTTGTGCCATTCATAGAGAAGAGGGCAGCGATCTGTCTTCTTCTGCTCTGCTGACAGGCTCCTCCCAGACTCCACTATGGCCRTCACCACCTGAGGTTCAGAGAGCTGGACCAGGTCAGCTTCAGGAACTTGTATAAATCAGTTGTCCTACTTTATCAAAGCAACCATATTCTGTCACTCAGAACGGTCTCATCCCTGAGATGTTCTGCTAAACCTTTACTTGACCTTCAAATCGACTGAAAACAACAAGCTGGCTTTCCTGTTCCAGGACAAAAGCTCTTTGAAAGACAAGCGTTCAAGAATCAAAGAGATGCTTTCAAATTAAACTGCTACAGCGTTTTAGTCTGAGCTCATCTGTGAAAGCTTTTATGCCTCTGAAGTTTCAGTCTGAAAGACATGTAGCCCTACTCTCAACATAGAAAAGAAACAGTTTCAAACCCTCAGTGATGTCAAAAGAAGGTAAAAAACAGAATTTGAGAACAGACTTACAAATAACTAAATCTCGTGCCTCAATTTGGAGAGAAAAACCTTTCGTCCCCTCTTTGATCAACAGGACTAAAACAAATTTAACATCAAAAGACTCGAAGTTTACACTTCTTTTTTTCTCTCTTGATTTTTGTGTCAACTTAAGGAAATATTGACTAATTTCTGTGACACTTTTGTATCTAAAGTGATGCAGATCAGCTCTTTTATCTACTAATTCATGAATTATATATCATTCATTAAT